GGCTCTAAGAGATGGTAGGAGAAAGGCACAGTTTCTCCTGTATAGTGACTTGGTATGAATGGTACTGGTTGTATTCTGAGTAAACCTATATTCCTAAGATTTAGACACCATTCAGCTAATATGGCCCAGGAATAATGGACTCTTTTAGGGTTAGGAAGAAATGGGTGTTAGGAGACCTGGAGTCCTGCTCCCCACGTGGCCCTGTCATACACTGGTGTGTCCCTTGGACAAGGGACTGCTAAGCTTAGTTTCCACACCTGAAAGCCATGGAGTTGCTATCAGGATTCCTACTCTCTGTTTCTGCCTGCAAGAGTATTGTAAGTGTTAGGACAACCTTTATAAATTTAATAAAAAATAAAACCTATTCATGGATGGAGGCAAATTTCCTATGAAATGGGGGTTGAAATTACAATGTTAGTTTAGTGCCATGGAATATCAGCTTGGAAGTTGAAAGCTCACATTTTCATGCTCTGATTCATTCTCAGCAACAGATGGTCCTCAGAGATACCATGATTCTACAGAGTGGGCCTTGAGTATCCCCCAAAGGCACATTTGTTAAGGTTTGGTCCCCAGATAGCACTGGTGAGGGTAGTGGCACCTTTAGGAGGTGGAGCTCAGTGGGAAGACTAGGTCATCAAGGGTGAGCGTTTGAGAAGTACTGTGGGATGCTGGCCTCTCCCTTCTTTCTCTTTTGCCTTCTGACCCTAAGGTAAGCACTTTGCTCTGCAATGGGTTCCCCACCATTGCCATCCAACAGGCCCACCACAGGCCCAAAGCAATGAGTCTTTCACTTCTTGGACTGCAACCCCAAAGTAACCTTTTTCTCTTTATAAGTTCATTATCTCAAGTATTTCATTACACTGATGGAAAGCTGACTAATACGTGGTTTACCAAGGATAGAACCATCTGAGAAAACAGTTCAGAGGCTAATATTAGAGGTTTTAGAGAACTGTTCTTGTTAACGAAATGTACTCCCTCAAAGTGTCTAAGAGCTGCTAAATCCTGCTACATGCCCAATCACAGAGAAGCCAGCTTCTGAGGAAGTCAGGATAGAGACAAAACTCTGGGCTTAGAGCAGTCAAATCATGTCATAGTGAGTTCTTTGGAAAGAGAGTAGGATTTATGTGTATGATACCCCTTTTCTGCTATTTGCACATATTGAACCCAATAAAAATTATTTATAATATTGCCATTTAAAAAAATTCTGTGATGATTCATCTCAGGCTTATGGATGCATTATGCAATAGGGTTCTGAAATGTGCTAGTACTTCATCAATCATACACACACACACACACACACACACACACACACATTTTTCCAGTGCTGAAATTCACTACATTTATCCACGGTTTTTAGGCTACCATAGAAGGCTTCCTTACATAAATAAAACTGCTTACTTTTATTAAGCTCTGCACATACTCAATGAGGGACTGTGCTGAATGTCATCACTGAAAAGTCTCTATCAGCTACCACCTCATGCTAAATAGTGAGGCCCTGAATTAAGGCAGTAACAGCATTTGCAGGCAAAGTTGGAACAGATTTTTTTAAAAAAAATTCTAAAAGCAGACTGAATTATATGTGATGCCAGACTGTAATACAGTGATAAAGAGTAGGGATTGAAAATAGCTTGAATCCTTGTAAGTGTCTATATCTACTAGGTAGATGTGATTCATTTAACAGATACAAGAAACTAAGGCAGGGAATGAGGCATGAAGAGGTCACTGTGTTCAGGTTTGGACATGTTGAGCTACATTCAGAGGTGATGGTCAATATGCCAATGAGCAATCAGTGTCCTAAAACAACATAAAATCCTCCGTATGTAAAGAAGATCAACAATAAGAATATCTTCCAATCACTTCCTTCTTTACTCATTCTTTTCATTTTAATAAAACAAAATATGTTTTGAGAAGCCACGATATGCCAAGACCATGGATAGGCATTAGAAAAAAGAAATAAAGTAAATATAGTGTCAACTCTCAGGGCATTTGTAAGGTGCAGTGGGTGCTGAGGAGAGGGGAGAGTTACCAGAGGAGGCTTTCCGGAAGAAGTGGCACTTATTGAGGATAAGGTGGGTGGTAGTTACTCAGGTTCATTCACCAACCTAACACATGAAGGGGGACTACATGCTTCTCAATTGTCTTCATGGTCTGCATATCCCCTGTGGCTCCAGGCCAGCTATAGGGCACATTCCTCCTAAAATATAATCACACACACTTAACTTCACTCTGCTCATTTATACATCTTCTGTGGAAGTAATGTGACTTCTTTGGGGGAGAAATTATTGTAATCTTCTCCCTTTTACATTTTGGTAACAAGATATTTTTGAGCAACTCTTGGGATATTAGGTGATACTATGGCAGAAGTGAAATTTTAATCCTAGGTCCTGAGAACTCTCTGGAATTATCCATCTACCTACCTAGAAAAGTGCAAATTCCAAAGAATATAGAAAGTGAAGCACTCTGACAGAGTCCAGAGTGTTTAAAATTCAGATAAATGCAGCAATTCTAATCTTAGGTATTTACCAAAGAGAAAGAAAAACATGTCTACAAAAACACTAGGATAAGAATAGCCACAAAACTTTACTCATTATAGTAAAAAACTAGAGACTACCACATGCCCATCAACTCCTGAACAGAAAAACAAATTATAGTATGTCAATATTATTATTTACTTAGTGATATAAAAGGAGAAGTAACTGATTCAACTACATGGATAAATCTCAAAAGCATTATGGCTGGGGATTTAGCTCAGTGGTACTGAGCCAGCCTTGCAAGCGCAAGGTCCTGAGTTCGATCCCTGGTAACTGGAAAAAAATTATGCTGAGTATACAGAGCCAGACATGAAACACTACAGATACATGATTCTGTGACCATTAATCCTGACATGTTGACTTCATTGGATTGAGAAACACCTAGAAGATTAGCTAAGCACACTCCTGGATATGTGGCCTTTGGATGTATATCTGCTCCCTCACCCCTTCCTCTCTGGCACTGTTTCCCTGCTCTGTTTCCTTGGTGCCATGAACTGAGCCAGCTTTGCTCTATCACACCCTTCCATCATGATGTTTCTGCCTAAGAACTAGCCAAACATGGATTGAATCCTCTGAAACCATGAGCCAAATTAAATCTCTCCTCCTTTAAGTTGTGTTAGGTATCTTGTCTTAGTGATGATAAACTAATACATTCTACTTATAAGTGAAATTCAAGAAAAGACAAAACTGAAGTTCTAGAGAGGAGATCAGTAGCTGTCGGCCCAGAGATGGGCTGCAAAGGGATCCAAGGAAAGCTTTGGGGTGATGGAAACATTCTCTATCATGATTGTAGTAGTGGTTACATTAGTGTATACATTTTCAAAATTCATTGAGTTACCCACTAAAATTGGTAGTTTTACTTTATGTTAATTATTCCTCCATAAAACTGATTTTTAAGAAAACAAATGAGGCCATGCTAAGAAACAGGCTCAAGCTCTACCAGCTCTCAGAACCAGTTCTGCCTCAGTTTTCTGGCTCTCAAGAATGCCTCTGCACAAATGGTTTGGCCTAAGACCCTGATACTCCCGGGCTGTTTCAGACTAAGTATCCTAATAACTCACATTCAACCTTCTATGCACCTGCCACTCACCCTCAGGGCCAGAATCAGCCTGCTTCCCCAAACAACTGATAAGTAAACTTAAACCCTTAATGCCCAAGATGACTAGCCTGAAGATGGCAGAACTATTCTGGATTTACAAACTGGAGAAAAAACTCAGTAGAGATTACACTTCAAAGAGTCTGATGATACAATGCCTGCAATATAGACTCTTGGCTCTTCTGCTATATTACCAGTCTCTCAAAGAGTCAAGAGGCTGTGCTCATTTTTTGCTCAACATGTGAAACCATGATTTCTCTACAGCTATCTGATTCCATATGGCCTACTAAAATTTTGCTTTTCCATTATCCCTGTGGCTACAGTGCCATGGTTGATAAGGCCAAGGGCCTGGAAGCAGGTAACATAAGATGAGAGAAAAGAGTCTTGAACCTAAAAATTAATCTTCAGCACAGGAGGACTGTATCGAGAGTTGTGCAGAAAGCTTATTTCTCTATCACCAAAAACATTATTGTTCACTTTTTTACTCCAACCCACTGACTCTAGCAAACAAAAATATAAGTGTGGAATTTCTGAATAATTTTATTTTTAAGTTCTATTTTCAAAATTTCAATTTCTACTAATAAAGCAGATTGCACCAGAAAACATAAAAAATTATTTGCTGCACACTTGGTGTCATGTGAAGTAAACTTAGTCAATGAGCATCTATATTAGGCTATTTGATGTACACTAATCACATCTTCACTATAATTCTGTTAGTTACATGCACCATCATGTAACATTTTGGCTCATTCATGTAACTTTCATGTAATGAATAATGTTACATTCATGTAATGTTACATTCATGTAACATCATGAATAAATTCTCTGAAACTCAGAAAATAAGCAACTTAGTTATTTAACAGTCAGCTAGAACAGAGATGGAATATGACTCTAAGACTATTTAAAAAACAAAATGTAGAAACTACATAAATTGTGGATTAAAGCTTGGTTTAGTATTCAGACAGCCCATTTACTAGCTAGGCAAGCTGTATTACTATCTAGTTTAGTTTCCTTGCCCATAGTAGAAAACAGACCCTACTTCACTGAGCCTCAAAAGGATTAAATAAGAGAATTCGCACAATAAACACAGTAAGTATTAGCTACCTGTATGATTGCAAATGCTAAGCTGGCTCCAATTAGAACAAACACGTATGTGTAAATACCACTGTCAATGGGCCAAAGGTTGAATTTCCACACTATGCATCTCACCCTGCCTTTCAATTAGTCTTGTCCTTCTTCAATGTACTACAACATTTAGTGAGGAAAATATGTATAAATCTTCAGGCTTTAATGAGGTTCTGAGGATCATCTCTTTCCCAAACTGTCTCTGAAAGTCAAACGTGACCAGAACAGCCCGCCCCTTCTCTACTCACCTGCTCTGGATACTTGCTCCCAGTGATCTCTGCTACAGTATTGAAGGAATCCGTGTCTGGGTAACTCTTTGCTGCCATTTTCAGCTGAATGACAATTTTGTTCCCATGAAGAGCCATTCTTGACAGCATTTCCGCATCTTCCACTGTAATACAGGCTGTGGGGATCTTGGGCACACCAGCCTGGTATTTCTGCATGCCTGTGTGAGGACTTGAGAAAAGAAGCCACTAGGTTACCTTAAGGTTAAAATGGACCCAAAGCCCTCATACTCTGACAATGCACTGACCTTTACATAAGGGGAGTGGGAACCGGGGGCATTATTGGTTTGCTTGTGATGTAATCATAATTTTTATTTTTTATAAAAGCAACTTAGAAAGTTTTAATTAACAATAATTTCATTGAAAACATAACAGGAACATATTTTTGTAATTTGGATTCTCTTTCAGAGCTGGGAATTGTCACAAACTCTGAAAGATATTAGCAGTGCTTTCATGTCCAAGAGGTGAACCTGTGACAAGGAGACAAGGCGTTCATATGGGACCGCCAAGGTGCAGATCAGAAGGCCCACGCGCTTAGATGAAAGCTGGCCCGGTTACTCTCAGCCCTGCAGTGACTGACTAGCAGTGGGCCTTCCCCCTTCTCATCCAAACACAGAGATCCAAATATAGAATCCTGTGCTGGTGGCAAAACACTGCACAGGAAAACTGCACAACGATGTCTGGGGAAATATTTGTGTTACTATAAAGACAGTGTTGATTAAACTCGGGTTTCTGATTTTACTGCCACAAGAAAAAGAAAACTACCATAATTACGACTCAAAAGGATGAAAACTATCCCAACTGGTCAAACTTTTCCTACTAATTTCTTAAATTACTAGAAATGTAAAAATTGAAGTTCATATTAATTTACTGTTGACTCAACCTCTGTATCTGCTAATGAAGTTTGTAGAAATGATTTTCTAAAACTGCTTATTCAAACAAGAGATGAGGGGTGCCAACCAGAAGATCCACATTCCTGAAAGAAAACCAGCCCAGGTCCTCTCAGCTCCAAAGTAACTGACTAGTCCTTCCCCCTGGGAAACATACCCAGCTTCTGAATATATAATACAACCTGTCAGTCTTCGCTTCCCATCTTCTGTCAAAACAAAAGACAAAAGCCTCCCTTTTCAAATTGATTTTTCTTTTCCTATTTTCGTATTTTTTCTGGTAGTCTGACATTTTCAGGATGGTCCTGTTCTTCTCTCCAGCCACAACACATTTCTCTCCTACAGATCATAACTTGGTGTTTCTGTCCCATAGAAGTGACTCCAGTCTCCACATGCACAAACTCAATGGACTGGTTTTATCCACAACTGTATTCTCTGTGTGACTGCATTATTCTGATCATATTTCAGGAAACCATTTGGTTAGAGAAATGGCAAAGCAACATGTATAAGAACAGAGCTTCTGGACCAACAGAACCTAGATTCAAATCTGAATTACGCCACTTGGCCTAGGGCAAGATACCCTTTTTTTTTTTTTTTTTTAGGAATTTCTTCTATAAAGGAAATGATAATAGTAACACCTAATTCCTGGAGTTATTTAATGCTAAGTATTTTATTAACTTCCCTATTACATTATCCCTGCAGAGACTGTCTAATCTCAAGTCATTACTACTATCTGAATATACCCTCCATAGACATTTCAGAGCATATCCTATTACTCTTCAAAAGAAAGGCAAATGACTTATAAACCTAGATGTTAGAGTACAGAGATCTGAATCTGTATTTCTTCTCTGGGATATGTGTAATGCACACTAACTTCTGGCCAAGGCTCTGGAGGCACACAACCTAGTCAAATCCTGGCATCAACATTCTCCAGGTACATGGCATCCAAGTAACCTTAGATTACCTCTCTGTTTTGCAGTGTACTCATTAATAAAAAGAAGAAGAATATTAGTATTAACCTCATAATATTGCTGTAAAGAATAATAGCGATACTATATGCAAAAGGATTTAAGACAGTACTTGGCACATAATTACTTAGTAAATATTTGTTGTTATTTCTTCAGTGCTAATTTTTTCCCACTGAGTGATTAATGAATTTGAAAATTACTTTCCAACATGTAGGAAGACAATCTAAATATTTGTTATTCATACTATGTTATGTGATGTCTGGGATTCAACAAAATCTCCTTGTTCTCAGACTCTCTTACTCAAGAGAAGGTCAGTATAACACTTCTTAATAGGCTCTTTTAAATACTGTTTCTAGACAAGTTTGTACTAATAAGTTACAGGTAAGAGTTTGTAAAGTGAGGACAGTGAGCCAGGCATGCACCCCTGGCTCCCCTGGGGAAATTATTCAGGAAGGCATCTTTTAACTGTGGTTCTGAATTCAAAACATAAAAGCTTTTGAATTTGTTTCAGTGAACATCCATCATTGTTTAGTAAAATAAAAATGAAGACTCAATAGATTTATTTAGAGTTCTGCATTTTCACTGTAGTGAAATTGTCCTAGAGGAACCAATCAGCATAAGCATCACCTCCCTGCTCCCCATTTACTAGCTCTATCTGCAGTTTAACAGTAGCAAAGGGTAAGCTACAAAGGAAGCCATAAAAATCAAAGTAAGAACATTTAAAGGTTAATACCAATTCTTCATAAACTCTCCAGAAAACAGAAGAGGAAGGAACATTCTATGAAGCCATTATTACTTATATCAAAACCAGAAAAAGATATCAGAAGAAAGTAAAAGCTAGAAATCAATTATCTCTCTTGAATATAAATTCAAAAAAATCCTCCAAAATATTCTAGCAAACTAAATCCAGCAATATATAAACGAAGTATACACTATGACCAAATGGGACTTATCCTAGGAATGCAAGGTTGGCTTAATGTCCAAAAATTAATCACTACTATCAAAATAATACCAAATAAAAAGTACATGACAATCTCAGTAGATGTTTTAAAAGCATTTGATGAAAACCTAACACCCTTTTATGATGAAAACACTAATTAAACTAATGCAGGGGACTTTCTCAAACTACTAAAAGGTTTCTACAAAAACTCACAGCTAACAACAATCTTCATGGTGAAAGACTGAAAGGTTTTACTGTAGTATTAAAAATAAGACAACGATGTTTGCTGTCCTCATTCATGTTCAACACTGTACTAGGGATTCTAGCCATGGAAATTAAACAAGGAAAAGAAAAGAAAAAATATCCAGCTGAAAAGGAAGAAGTAAAATTATCTTTATTCACAAATAATATGATCTTGTATTTAGAAAATCCTAAGGAATCTACAAAAAAACTGATCTAATTAACAAGTTCAGCACAGTTGAAAGATACAAGATCAATATACAGAAATCAATTGTACTGTGGCATAGTCATCAGATTTACATTACTTTAAGGAATAGCCAAAGCTGTTAACTTTATAAAGAGAAAATAGTTATTTATGCCACAGTGTAGGAGGTTCAAGTGCATAGTACCTGAATTAGCTCAGTTCTGATGAGGACTTCATGCTAAATGGCAGGTGGTGGAACAAGTATGGGAGCAAGCAAATGATCTTGAACTGAGAGCAGAGAGGATGGAAGGGGGCAGGCTTGTTCCTTTTATATCAACCCTCTCCAAAGAACTACCAAAGGGTCACATAAAACTACTTCAGGCCTCAAATAATCTAAGGCTTTGCACTAGCTCCCAAAACATAGATGTTCCACCACCTGACAGGTGCCCACCCTGGGGACAGCGTTTCTTATATGTGAACTTTTGTGGGGACACAAACCATGTGCAAAGCAAGGCAAGTGGCAATAAATGACATAATACAACAGCATTACAATAGAAAAGAGCAATCTGAAAATTGAGCAAACAAGTTCATGTATATTAGCAAAATAAACAATAAAATGCTACAACTAAATTTAATAACGGAAGTTTCAGACCCATACATTGGGAACTAAAAAAACATTACTGAAGTAAGTTAAAGATCTAAATAAATGGAAATACAGCTGATGTTTATGGATTGGAAGACATCTTGCTAAAATGTCAATATTCCCCAAATTGATCTGTTGATTCATTGTAATCTCTATCAAAATTTCAGATTTTTAAAAAAGAAATTGAAAGCTGATTTTCAAATTCATATGGAAAAACAAAGAACTGAGAATAATATAATAATAGAAATTGGAAAAAATAAAACAAAGTTGTAGAACTCCCATTTCTGAATTATTACAGAACTTATTACAAATGTATATAACCAAGATAGTGTGGTAGTGGTGTAAGGATAGATACATCATAAATCAATAGAATAGAATTAAGAATCCATAAATAAAACCTTTTAAGGATAATCAATTAATTTTCAATAAGAATAAGAATTTAGGTTTCCTAGGGCCTATAGGGAAGAGAGGAATGGTGAGTGAATGTTAATGGGTAAGAGATTTCTTTTGAGGATGATGAAATGTTCTAAAATTAGATAGTGATGATGGTCACACAACTCTAGGAATATATTAAAAACTACAAAGGGCTGGAGATTTAGCTCAATGGTTCTGTGACCTGCCTCGCAAGCAGAAGGACCCGAGTTCAATCCCTGGTACCAAAAAAAAAAAAAAAAAAAAACTACAGAATTGTGCAAGAGGCAAATTTTATAATATGTGAATTATATCTTGAATGAAACTTCTATTATAAAAATCAAAATTAGAGACTTAAGGTTCCAGATTTTCAAGGAAAGAATCCTGATATCTTCCTTACCCCAAAATCATGTTTTCATGGATCTAGTTGGTGAGATGTATAAAAACAGAGCCTGTTTCTGTCTGCTGTACAGGATAGTATATCCCAACTCTAAAATAAATGAGGGAGGGGCGGATGAAATTTGAAAGTCTTAAATCAGTTTCTCAAATTTCATTAAATTTCTCATGTATCTCATAAAAGGTGACGTAATTTGAAGCCAGCAGAATATTTTTCTTTTATCTACAAAAAATACATATGATAGTTAAACAAAGCTGAAATTTTCCACTTGATTACCATGCATCAATCAAATTCCTTTATTGCTAGTCACTGACTAGTTCTTTATAAAAGATACCAGGCACTTTACATTTCTAAGTATTTTAAAATTTGAAAAGCTTAAATCAAAAAAAGTGGGTGTCAGTTTATATGTTAAATATCCAACAAGAGGACAATTGTATATCTCTATGAGAAACACACAGGTTTTTTCAGGGATACATAAAACAAATTGTTCACAATACTACAA